TTTTTTCTGCTCATTCTGTTGGTTTTTGTCTTTTGCCCTTCTCCCCCGTCCCTCTTCTCAGCTGTTTCTCTTTCCCTCTTTCTTTCTCCCCTTCAAGTCTGTCCCGTATTCAGTAAGTGAAAATAAAATAAACAATAAAAGGTGAATCAAATGGACCATTATGGCAAGGCTGGGATGGTCAATTTGGTAAAGTAAATCCGTTGGGCATCTTTCTTTGCCTTTAGACAACAATTCTGATGCAAAAGAGCCAAACGGGACAAAAAAAAAAAAAAAAAAAGGCCCATGGACAGAGCTTCTTCAAACAATTTTGACGTATGTGGGTTCGGTGAACAGCTACACATGCTCTTTTAATTCCAGTATCAGCGAGATTCCTGCTCTTTCTATCCTGTCTGACAGCTCATTCATCTCCCTGAGCTCTTAGCTTGGGGAGAGCCTCTGCACCGAGGCCTTGTCTCTCCCATCAGCTCTTTATATTTTCTATAAAGATGGATTCCGTACAATGCTCATGAATGGCACTTTGTAGAAGCAAAATACGCTCTTTCAGATAAAATATGCCCAAGAACGGCATGCTAGAAACTCAAAGACAGCAAAAAAAAAGATACTTTGCAGTTGCATCAAAAGCAAAGGTTCAGTCTTTGAGTATATAATGGAAAGATTCAAATGGCTTTCCTCTAACCGAGAATATCTGTCATTCACTCGTCTATTTCTTTACACCTCTTTGCCTTTTGAGTGTTCGTACTGCTACATCATTCTTTGTTACTGCAACAATTGGCCACTAGGTGGAGATATTCATTCAGTGAAACTAGCTCTGCAGAGAACGGCAAATTGGGAGTGTGGCACTGTTCCCGTATTGATAATGCAGGCCCTGGTCTTCAAAGCAGGGGGTCTTTCGATTGGATTAACAGCTGCAGGAAATGCATCAGCTGTGACATGTTTGCTGCTGCTCATATGTTTTTTGTTCAGCACTTTCATGAGAATACACTGCAGGAAATCCATTTTATTACTTTAGGTTTTATAGATTTTCACTAACAAAATGGAAAAATGGACTTTATATTTCACAGTGCGTGTGTGTGTGTGTGTGTGTGTGTGTGTGTGTGTGTGTGTGTGTGTGTGTGTGTGTGTGTGCAGGTTCCGGCTATGGGCAGTAGACAACACGGGGCGCCGTTCAACTCCAAGTGAAGTCACCATCAAAACTCCATGTCCAACTGTGGATGACGTCAAAGCACAAGGTGAGGGGAAAAGACTGTACATCATTATTTGTGTAGTAAATATGATTGTTATATGATGTCAGAAAAATTCGGGGGGAAAAATTTATATTTGGTGCAATTTTTTTTCATTTGTTTTTTTTATTTACCGGACAGACATTTGCTCTTTCTATTTGCAGACATGTCTCAAAACCGCACAAAACAGATGTTAGATGAGTTCATCGAGCGAGTCATAAAGACACAGGCAGATAGTTTTCCTCTCTGGAGTAGAACTGTTTATGGACACTGTACACTAAGATCTCACGAGAATATTGGTTATAAAGTGTGCTATTTCATGTCAGAAATTAACGAGCTGAAATCATTTGTCACCCTGTGCACTAGTGAAGCTTCATACCAAAGACTTTATAGATCCTGCTGCTGAGTTGGAGACAGGGGGGTAGACATTTGGGTAGTGTCACAGTTTTCACCTTTTTGCCACTACAATTGAAGTATGGCTTTAATTAAAGGCCCTGGCCAAAAGTACCTTGACTGTCTTTTTTTCTGCCCTAGTACCATATTTCCTGGTGCTAAGGGTGGGCTGATTAAAAAAGTTACGCAAAAGCTGTTTCAGTGATAGGTGTGGGATATTTCTTCATTCCTAAATTAAGCAGGCAAATATTCAAGAGTTCATTTCAAGTGATGAATGATCATGGGATCCTTTTCATGGTGAAGAAAAACCCTTTTCCAACGGTCCCCAGAGGGGGAAACACTCCCCCTGTAAGGTAGCTATCCGTTATTGAAGTCTACCATAAAGAGGCTTTGTGGACGACGCTTTGACAGAAGGTTCAACCTCATGAACAGAAAGGCCAGGTTAGAGACTAACTCTCAAACAGCATTCTTTGGACGGATGAAAGTAACATCAACCTGTCACAGAAGGACAGGAGTAACAAAAAATGGAGAAGGCTTGGAACAGCTCATGATCTGAACACAGTGAAGCCTGTGTGATGCATGGGCATGAGTGGTTTCAAATTGTACTTGGGTCACTAATGTTTATTAATGATGTGACAGAAGACAGAAGCAGCCAGATGAATTCTGAAGTGTACTGTGATCCATCCAGCCATCCATTCTCTTCCGCTTAAACAATTTAGGGTCGCAGGCACCCTGAAGCCTATCCCAGCTACCGCAGGGTGACAGGCAGGGTACACGCTGGTCTGATGCAGGGCCAAGCAGAACTTGCAAACTTGATATTGTCTACAATAGTGGACAAAGGCCTGAAAAATCAGGCTAAACAGGAATAAGCCACGTGGTCAGTCAGGTTGAATTTCACTAGCAGAGAAAAAAACCAAAGGGAGTAAGACACATCACAAACATCTGCAGACTTCAAGCCATCATTACATGGAAGGACTTCAGCAAAATATTAAAGTTCAATAATGATTTTTTAAAATTTGTCCAATTCCTATTTGAACCCTATTAAGGGGCTACTTAATTTACTGTGCTTGACTGTGAAAACAATTTCCAATGTAATTGTCTAATTGTATAAGAAAAGATGTGCCACTTAATGCAGTTGGTTTTAATTACTGGAAATCTACGCATGGTGTGACATGCAGTACATGCCATGTAGTTGCTTTTACTGATTTTCTTGGCATTGTCACTTCCGAGAGGACTTACACTCCAAGGTTTTAGTTTCTTCAGTGAATTCTTCAACTTCGTTGTTGATGATTTATCCCTTTTAAAATGATCGGTAATGGTAGTGAGACCAAAATATTCATGTAAAATGACATCTGCTTTATTCATCTGAAATTGGAGCTGCAGAAGAAACAGGAAAGAACACATCTTCTCCACTTATGAGGCCATTATATTTAACAGTGCCCAATAACTGAGGGGAAAAAACTGCAATATGTCCAACATCTTTGTCAACATCAAAGAATCTCTTCCAATGACCCCAAAAACAAACGCATATTACAGTTACTGTGTCGCTGATCCTCCATCCACAAACATGTGACCTCTGACATTGCTGGGAAGAAAGGGGTGCTGATCACTATCCAGTAACCAACATCCTAATTTGGGATTAGACTTCTTAATATTATTTCTTTATTACTCTGCCTCGCCCATACCTTAGCAACTGACATGATTCCACATGGATTCCTGTCGTGTCCTACAGTAATTGAAATTAAGAATGCATTCGTCAGGATCACTGTTAACAACATTGTTTAAAATGGATGCAAAAACAGATAAGACCTGCCCCAGACAAACATTCTTCTCTCGCTATGAGCGATCTGCCCCGTCTGTCTACAGAAAGCGTGACTGAGTGTGAACTCAGCGAAGCTCCCCACCCAAACCTCAACAGCGTATCCAAAACAGCAGCGAGGCTAGCATGGATTCAGGAGAAAGATGACTTTGTCATTGGAACATCTTGCCTGGATCATTTAATATCAAGTAGCCCCAGTCAGCCTGTTCATTAAACATAAAAAGGGTTTGAACTGATCGCCGGTATTGTTCTTTATTGTTGGGCATAGTTAACACTCGTTTCCTGCTCCTATTAAAGCTGCAAGTTAACCCCCGATTGTCTATATACTTTCAGAAATTGCAGATAAGATATATAACCTGTTTAACGGCTACACCAGTGGGAAGGAGCAACAGACAGCTTACAACACTCTGATGGACCTGGGCGCTCCTACACTGCACCGTGTGCTTTACCACTACAACCAGCGCTACGAGAGCTTTGGTGAATTCACCTGGAGGTGTGAGGACGAGTTGGGACCCAGGTACGGTTATTTGACAGTTTCTTTTCTTCCTTAACGAGTCAACAAGAACAAAAGATGCCACACTGGAAAATGCATGTTTATTGAACACCACAGGCAGTTTAGTTTTACCCACGCTGGAAACGACAGGAAAAAGTGACTTTTCTGCCAGACAATTGGGACTCAGCTTGTATTTCAAACGTGCCCACATCTCTGACGTGTAACCTCAGATCAGAAAAATGCATTCCTTCTAGCAAATTGATCATCAACTTTAACTTGATCGCCAATTTATCAGCAGAACCCAACAATATACAAAGCCCTGTAGGTCTGTCTTGAGTCAGACTTTTACAGAATACCAAAAGCCTTAATAACGTGTAGACTGCGTTCACTGTAATCAGTCTTCCAGATATGCGTGTGTGTGGGAGTGTGTGTAATCCATTCATGAGTTGCCCTCCCACCAACAAAGTGCAATCTGTCATACTGAGCTTGTGCAATTGACACTGACATCTTCAAACAATAACAGTGTGAGACTGAAGAAAGTGGCAACTAGACAAGAGTCTGGATTGGATCACAGTTTGTCAGAACAACACTTTAAAGTGCAATTTGAGCAGATAGGCCTTTCATAATCGAAACATTCACCAGCAATCCTGTAAAACCCAGAAGGCTAGGACTGAATCACAAGACATAGATGTGCTCTATTAGTGATTACTGCACCCCCAACAGCTTATAGGAATTTGTTCCCACTCTGACACAGATCTAGATCAGGTGCGATGAATAAATCAACAAATTGTGTCATATATAAACATGTGTATTATAATACACATGTCTACATATCCCAAGATTACACCAATAGTACATTAGTAACTAGTTCATTGAATGAGTACTGTGCGTATCCGGAGCTTGATCTTTTTTTTTTTACCAGTGTAATGTAGGAATGCCTCAGTTGACATTGAAATATACAGAGGGCTAATCTCTGGAGCTGAAAAAGTAAGCTAGCTGCCACTTGACGTTGGCGAGTCAATCCCCTTAGACTAGGGTAGCCAACTCCCTGAAAAATAAATAAGGGACACCTCGACCCAGTTGTCTTCACCCTTCCCAGTGTGGTGAATTTTCTAGCTCTTTTTTTGTGTGTGAAATTATTTTTTTTAACCATTTGACTTGAAGTTGATTTAAGTAGATGCATATTCTATTCTTTGTGATATGAACACATGTGAAACAAATGATCATTTAGCCATTTATTTTTAGCTCAAAATGACAACATTAACACATAAAACAGGTCTCTTTCTTAAACAGAAGCCTGTCATGCTTAACTTTTGAGAATATAAGTAAATCTTTCTTTAAAAGAACTCTGTCCTGCTTAACTTAAAATAATAGAAAACAATAGAAAGAAAAATATTCTTGTAACAGTGCACATTTAGTGCATTTAGTACAATTGGCTTCAGTTGAGGTATTATTTCAGCTTTTCTAATGCTAATCAGCTGCTCCTGTTTGTAAACCCGCTTGTTCCCATGATTACGCATCATAACTCATCATCATTATTCATCTATGTATTACTTTTATGTATTAGTCATCTATTTGTTGTAATCATCTATCCTTGCAGTTGTTTATTACACAAAATAAATTATATTATCACACTTCTGGCCACATAGCGCTGATATTCACTGCACATGCCCATATTAACTTTTTCCAGCCAGGTGTTTTCCTTTTCCCATTCTTCCCTTTCTCTGAGGGGAACAAACATTGCTGCTCTAATGCTGGGCTCACACTGTGCGATTTTTGGCCCATTTTGAGCCGATTTTTGAGTCGTGCGACCGATTTGGTGATCGGCCCGATTTTGGCCTTCATCGTGCATCGTGTAGTATACGTGGGGTAACGAGAAGCGATTAACACCTCGAGCAGCTCCCGATCATCAATCGCTCGTGAGGGTGTCACCACAGCCGCTCACACTGCTCACGTGCAAACACGTAAACGTCGGTGAAAAAGACGGAGCAGCACGGCTGTGCAGCGTGTGATCTGGACACAAGCGATGGAGGCACAACTTGTAGAACTTTGGAAAGCTCATCCGAGCCTTTTCCATGTGGCCTCACAAAATTATCACGACCACAACAACCGTGAAAATAGTTGGATCTACATGCTGCTCAATCACAGCTGCCTGATCATGTTTTTCATTAGCAATTTAGCAAAGTTGATGGTGGTGGTGTGTCTGTGTGAGTGAAAGACAGAGAGAGCGAGCGACAGATTTTCTGTTATAACCTTCATTTTATGGACGCACAGTGTGAGCACTCAGGTCGCATCAGAGCATCGGGCGGTATAGTGTGAGACCTGCATCGTGACCTACCAACTTCTAACCCCTGCGAGTCAATCGTGCAGTTTGAGCAGGAGCTGAATAACGTGACTGAAAAAATCGCACAGTGTCTGCCCAGCTTTAGGTGTACTGTCGTCCGAGACTTGCACCGCAGTGTCGGCGTTTGTTTCCCTGTTGGCCATGCTTCTTGTTGTGGTCATCTGTTGTCTTCCGGTATTTTCTCCGTCAAGCGACCTTTCCTCGACCAATGAGATGAGCGGTAATCTGAATTGTCATACTCGAATTGTCATAAGTGTGCTGTCAGCTCATTGGTCACAAAGCAGGAGAGGGGCTGGGAATTATGTTTTCAAACAAAGCGTTAATTCCATTAAAAGTTATAGACTACTTTTGATTCTCACTGTATTACGGGACAAAGTGCGTCCCTTATTAGCTCAATACGGGACGTGTGCTTTTGTTTCGAAATACGGGACGATTCCGTATTTTAAGGGACGGTTGGCAACCCTACCTTAGACTATGTTAAAACTGAAAACTTTCCAACACTTTCCTACAAATAAATGTTATAGTCTTTATGGATTCTTCCCTCCCTTCAAAACAACTCTGAGTGAGGTGATTTATTTATTTTTTGTGCAACTCCTTGAGTTAGCTTGTGTTAGCTAATGTTAGCTAAATGATGCTATGTTGTCCAGAACGGGCTAACGTTAGCCTACACATTGTCTTTGCATTTAACTGCTCTCTGGAAAAAACATCTCATCTTTGGTACCGTAGCTGTGTTTTTTGCCCAACATGCGCTGCAAGCAATTTCTTTTGCACTGCACTTACATTTGGCCTGAGCATCTATTCCCACAACAATCCGCACAAGTTGTCTGACGTGATCTGTTCTTGTGCATAACAACAGTTACAGCTTGAACAGAAAACAGCTCTAAATAAAACCAAAACTGTGCTTCGTACACTTTTCGGTGCAAGCGCTAATTTGTTCCACTGTTATTACAAACACATTTATAGGGTCTCCATTATATCAGCTCTTTCAAAAGCTCAGCACACTGTTGTTTCGACTCTCAAAGGTGGGCAGATGTGCCGCTCACAGTTTCCAAAGCGCTGTCTCTGATTGCAAAGCGGTTGTTTGTGTGAATTAGAGTTACGGGAGAAAGTCAGTCAAACTGACTGGGAAGCCGAGTGCTTTTAACCTCTGTTACATCACCGGGGCCATTTAGTAACTCGCAACCATGGAGGGCCCCAAATTTCCGCCCAAACTACGTATAAGTACCCATAATGTAAAACTGTAGCTTAATGTTTTATAAACAGAGCCATGTGTCTGAAATAAAACCTACTTATAAACAGCAGTCTGTGTTACACGCTTTCGCTTTGGCAGGTGAAACTGATTAGCAAAGGCTCCCTTAATTCTGTGTTTCTCCCTCTGTCTGTGGGCTCCCCCGCCCTAAATGAAAGGTTGGTTTTAATAGGGACCATGCTGGAAAGAGTTGATGTAATTGAGGGAGTTGCTTCTGAAGTGTTCCATTAAAATACACTTACATTAACAGCCTCCCAATTTAGTTAAAGGGAGGGGTGATTAATGTTAATAAAGGCACCTCAGAGCTGGAAAAGTGGCAGAGAAGTGCATTTGAGGTGAGAGCTGGCAACAGCGGAAGGAAGTATAAACATGTTTTGTTTAGCCAAGTCATCAAATGAACATTAGACTTTCCTATGTATCTACTTTAGAGTGAGGAAAGACCTGAGCTGTATGCTGTCTATTGTTACCAGGCGAGCGTGCAGGCAGCGAGGTTAATGGCCTCACAGCTCCGCCGCCGTGTGTCTGAGTGTGCTGACAGGCTTCCCTGTGGCGTCAAGCAGTTTGTTTCTCTGACGTTATTTGACCGTTGGGGAAAACAAATGCAGCAGATAAATGGCCGCACCTATGCCAGGACAAAAATACTACTGATATCATTTTTAAGAAACCAAAATAACCGTCATGCATATTTCTGGCTTTTCAGGCATCCTGTGTTGATGTTGGCCCGATGCTGCAAAAACATCTCAGATCATGATGATCATTGTCATTCAGCTGAACCGGGAAAACATTTTTCTAATCTAGACTAGACTCATTATGGACATATTAGGATAAAGATTGTATTTCTGTTTAATTCCAGACAGAATTTTTAATCTGTGGCTTACTGCATATTTTTCTAAGCAGATGACTGTAGAAATAAAAAAGCTAAAAAAAAAACCTAAACTAAACATTAGGGTTGGGGCAGAGCTGCTACTACTGCTTTGATGAAACTGTCTCTTTGTTCTGATTGTTCTCCTTGCATTTCGTTTGCTTTTTACAGAAAAGTAAACTTGGAAGTCACAAAATCCAGAAAAAAGCAGCTGTTTACAGGTTCTAGTAACTGCACCCGCATACTTTCTATTAAGTAGTGCTTCAGTATTACTGTATAGGGGAAACAGCACTCGCCACAATGGAACTTGAAGTCCTATTGAAAACAACGTGTTCCTTTTGTAAACATCGGTTCCCAGTGGAGTCAAAAAGAGGACTAAAGCACCAGGGCCTGCCTTGTAATTAGTAAGTCAATACCGTACAAGAGTGCAGTTTGGTTTCACAGTCAGATTTATCTCTCGCTCATCACGTTAGGTTTCAAAACATCAAGACGGCAACTGCAAAAATGCTGCTGGGCTTCAACGTTGGACTTTACTAACCAATTAGTGGCATCGCTGTGGCTACATTCAG